ACGCAAACATATTCATGATTGTCAAATTCAATGCTAAATTTCTTAATGGACGTTCCATCGCACTATTGAGACTCCGTTCGCCTTATTGTATGCCTGTTCGCTCTAATGACAATGCTTCTTCGCTTTAATGAATATTCCTTTGCGGTTAATGAACAGCAAAAGGTGTACTAGCTTTTTTTTGTCTCTGTACGGGATTTGGAGCCAATCTGACGAGTTTTTAGTCCTTTTATATGGGCCGCCGCTTCGCGTTACTAATCCCGGCTTGCGTTGCGTTACTACTAGTATCTGTCTTTGTCCTTCCGGCATCACATGACTTACACGAGCTACTGCACAAAGCGAGACAGTTTGATTTGTCAAACATGGCTGAACTTTTCAATACTTTGTTGGTCATTTTTGGCCTTTTTTGCCTTGCTTTACCATCAAATTCAACCAAACCTTCACTCTCAGACCCGTTGGACTTACAAAGATTCGGCGGAAAGCAGCAAATTCTTGCAGATGACTACGTTAAAGGCTCAATTTGGCCGAAACCACAAGGACAGACCCAAACTGGAGTGAAATTCTCTCTTCTACCTAACTCTTTTAGTTTTTCTATCAAGGGCAAGACCAGTGATGTTTTGACTGCAGCGGTCAAGAGGTACATGAATCTGACATTCCCGGACTTTGGAGTTACTAAAAAAGATGACAAGCTCGCGCAAATAACTGGTTTGGAGATAAATGTTGTGGACGACTATAAACCTATGAGTCTGGAGTCAGATGAATCTTGTAAGTGTTGTAAAACTTTTATATTTCTTTGTACTTGATGGGGTTCTTTCTACTCCAATTATATTCTATCTTGTTGATTGACTTTAAATACTACACTATTAAGTTAAATGAGTAGTTGCTTAGGGATGATGAGTAGTTTGAATCAATGCTCTTAAAATTTGTTTTTGCTGTATTTATTAGTGGGAGGGGGAGTCTTTGGTGGGTTTGCAATTTGCACGATTAAACTGGAAAAAATAAGAAACTCATTTATAGATAGGATTACTAAATGTTTAAGAGAAAACATTTGAGATTTGGTACAATTTTGTGTCTTTTTTGGACAAGTTATTATTTTTCAAGAACTCGTATGGAGGTTTTGCAGTAGTGTTAATCCGGTTACCTCACCTTCGATCCCTAGCCTCTTCACTGTAACCATACCTTATTATATGTAACTGTTCCTCAAACTTATTAGATAAAGGTCAAAAGCAATGGGAAGCCATTTCAGTGTTCCGATATAGCACCCACTCACGCGATCATACGTCTGTCCCCTTCTCCTTTTTCACCCCCCCCCCCCCCCATGCATACACGCACACTATTATCATGACCATTTTGTACTAAGTTTTACTTAGTCTCCTATGCAGCTGCTATTAGTGTTGCACTGCTCACTCTAAGTAGCTCAAACCTCTGTACCTCAGCTTAAGTTACTTAGGGGATCAGAGTAAGCAGTCCGTGACGACATTATTAGCAGCTGTATAAAAGACTAGGTTGTATTTGGACTTGTATTTAGTTGAATATCTCAGCTTTCCATAGGATCAAATATCGAATATTTTAGTAAAAATTCCTTGTAGTCTATATTACTTTAATATATTCCTTGCAAGTGCAGTATTTAACAATCATTAGCTCAGGCTCAGTGATAACAGTGAATATTTACTGAGGCGTGAGTCTTTGAGTACTTAGGCAAATATTTGCCAATAATCACAGAGCCTGAGGTGAATAATTGTTTGTTATCATTACATCTAATTATTTGAAAGAAAATATAGGCAACACTGGTTTATTTCTTAAGGAAATATTTATTTTGTATTTTGAAAGCAGCATGCATCAATGAACAGTGTGTGCACAATTCTATATTTACCTGGGCCCAGTTGTACTAAGGGTGGGTAGTGTTATCTGACAGATAAAATCTTAACCAGTGGACAAATTTATTGGGTAACAGCATCAACTTATCCACGGGATAAGGATTTATGCATAAGATAAAGCTATCCACCCTTCATAAGGCCTGGCCCTGTAATTAATTATTCAGAAATAGTCTAAAGTTCTCAACCAATCAGTGTGCAGGATTTTCTATAATCATATACATGTATATATATTTATTTATATACGATCACCTGTATAATCACCCATAATCACCATCTTTTACTCTTAATTAATTAATTTATAAGTTAGAAGTAGGAAAACTATGCTTTTGTGTTATTTCCATCAGATAATATTTTTCATTTAGAATGCTTATACGGTAAAGAATAACTTGAGAATTTCAATGAAAGCTGTGGCGGATTTAGGGGGGGTTCATTGGGTGCAAATGAACCCCCCCACTGGCTAAAACCTTGGATTTTTTATATATTTTTTAAATAAATAAATAAAGGTATGGTACTAACTCATGAAATTTAATATGAAATGGGACTGGTATAGATAGATTATCCTTATCAGGAGTGCCCCTAGGCCAGTGATGTGCCTCATGGGAAAAATGATGATGCAAGAGAACGTTATTGTTGTGCCGAGATTTGCAAAAATGAACCCCCCCAGTTAAAGTCCTGGATCCGCCACTGGAAAGATTAATAATATCAGAATAATCTGGGAAAGTTTCTGTAGTCGTATTTTTGGAAAATGCATGTAAACATGTTACAATTACTGGATCAAGAGTTTCTATATTTATAGGAATTTCTATTATGAAATGAATAAATAAAAATAGAAACTTCTATGAAAATAAGTTACCTGTTGAATATTTATATATATAGAAGAAAAGGTTTATAGGTATGACAAGTAATGTTTTTTAAACAATTATAGCTGGTGTTAACACAGATCAACAGGTCAAATTGTAAACATTTAATGATCTTAAAATTTTTGGAATGGAATTTGCAAGACCTTCTTCTAAACAAGGTCCCAATGGAAATTTCTTATAGATCATTTTTATTGACTTTCTAAATTCRTGTGATCAAATCTGACACTATAGATGAACAACAGATAACACAAGTCAATCCAAGCCTTAAAATCATAAGTAGCTTTGACAAATAATTTTTAACTGTTTCTGACATTAATTTTTGACAAAATCATTATTGTGCATATAAATAGTAATTTTACATCTCAGTGGTTCAAATTGTTTAACAAAATTTTCTTTTTTCCTTGATAATTATTATTCTTAATTTTGGTTACTTAATTTTGGTCATTTTTAAAAGTTTTTTTACTTTCACATTTCTGGTGCCATGTTAAAAGAAATGTTCATAAAAATGATAGTTTTGATTTTAGTTGCCATAGGTTTATCCAATTGCGATCCTCTTAATGGTTACGACAATGGATGGTTCCCAGAAGAGCTTAAAGTTACAAATTACGTTAAGGGTTCTGTTTTCCCTAAACCTCAGTATCAATCACCTAAAAAAGTCAAATTCTCATTAATTCCTGGTCAGTTTAAGTTTCGGATTACTGGAAAAGAATCAGATGTCTTAGAGAAAGCAGTAGATAGATACTTAAAGTTAACATTTCCTGATCACAAAGTTAAAAGAAGAGATAAAAGAAAACTGCAAATTACTAGCTTAAGAATTACTGCCATGAAGGATTATAAAGCACAGACGCTTCAGTCAGATGAGTCATGTAAGTTATTCTTATTAACGACTTAATAATAGTAATAATTTAAAGATTATTTGTTAAGCTAGAGACTAGGTATTTACCAAGCTAAATCTAATTTGGCCAGTCATGATGACCTGCGACTTACTGACCGTTACCACCTCCAATTTGATCTTGTAGCGCAGTTGCGCGCTAGAGCATCGAGATTACTATTCCTAGAGTCATGGGCTCAAGGTGATTTTCTCACAGATAATTATTCTATGGGCAATGCTCTGATATTTGTCAATAAAAGCACTTGGGAGATTGCAATCACTTTTTAAACCTGCATCATCTGTTAAGAGTAAAGTATGTTTTCCTTTTATTTTGTATTGTGTTTTTCTGAATAACTCATTGGTTTATCATTTTCAGATACCTTGACAATAAGCGCACCTCAATCAACACTTTATGCATACGAAGTATGGGGAGCGCTCAGAGGTGAGTTGAAATAGAGCTTTATTAAGTGTTTCCTTAAAGCAGGGAATAGACCCGTTTCGAATTCCAAATTACCGCTGTGTTTCTTGATTACAAACTCATTTGCATAGGGTTAGCCACGAGTTTGTGCAGAATATTCACGTGTTCCAATCAAGGTCCATCGAGTTTCAAAGTGTTTGTATTGTTGAAGTTGTGCATTCTTTACTTTACTGTTGGTATTTGTGAATATTTAAACACTGATACGAGGCTAACCCTGTGCAAATGAGTCTGTAATCAAGGAACACAGCGGTAATTTGGAATTAGAAACTGGTCTATCCAGGGTTGCATATATGATAGTACACTCATTGAGGTTGAGTGAGACCTAAGTGCAAAAAAGGCAGCATGCTCCGATGCCGTATCTTTTAGGGTTCCAGATCTGTGAACCTTGGCAATGACCACCCTCAGTGTTGGGCCTTTACTAATAATTTCTTATAATGGGTTGATTGTGGGATTGGTATGGGCCTTGAATTTTAAGGGGTAGAAAATTAGTGCAATGCACCTATCTAGAAGGGGACCCTATGTGCTATTGTGCCACACCAGCCTATAGAAAAATCTCAAATAAAAAAAAGGTACTTGAGATTAGATAATGACAGCTTGAATGACAGTTGTAGTTTGGGATGTTACCAATTTTCCTTTGTTTGTCTGAGATCTGTTTTTTCTATTTCATTTCATTTTATTTTGTTTTCCAGGTCTAGAGACATTTAGTCAGGTTGTTTATCAAGACGAAAATGATCTGGTAAATATGTAGCAAAGATGAGAATATGTGGAACGCGTAGCACTTATGAAATACATGAAGATATAGAAATATAGATAAGTTATAGTGCTTGGGAACGAGGTTATTCCGGGCAAAATTAAATTCGGAAAAATTAATTTCCGACCTCGCTGGGAAATATGTACATAAATTTCTGTATTTTTCCAGTCCAGTGTCCTAAAAAATCGTGCATTCTGATTGGCTGTTTGAGCGGGCGGTATTTTGTCAGTACGTATCTGCCCACGCTCGCAGTCCGGTATCCTTTGCCGCTAAACAACACTAAACAAAACGATTACTAAAACAAGTAAAAAAAAATATGGGAAAAAAAATAATAAGTTATTTACCGTCCTATAGTTGGTCCAGTTAGGGAAAAACTGTGCCCTCGGTTTTGAAAACGGACCTCAGCTTAACACCCTTGGTCTGTTTATTCAAGACCTTGGGCACAGTTTTTCCCTATCCGGACCTCCTGGCTGGTAAATAACATATATGTATTTGCTTGTTTAGCCACCACCCAAATTAAATGCCGCCCTCAAATAAGCACCACACTTGAGACCACACTATTACTAATAAGCACCGCCCTCAAATAAATGCTACCCCAGAATGAATGCCGCAGATGAAACCCTCAAAATGTTAAAGCTTTGAAACCAGTATAGCATTTACAGTAGTATTGGACTCTCAATAATAACACATTTATGTTGGTTTTTCAAAACAGTACTATGCTGAAGAAAATAAGATTGTCGACTATCCTCGCTTCCATCATCGTGGGTTTATGATTGACACTTCTCGGCATTATCTCAAACCGTCCATCATCCTAAAATTCCTGGTAAGGAGAATAAACCATATAAATAAATCAATGACTGTTTAATAAGAAGGAGGAAGAAYCAATGTCCGATACTCACCCAATATTAAGTTACTGTAGGGCACAACCTTCAGGCCTCATTCCAACCCCCCCCCCCACCCTACCCTCATCCCCCTACCCCCGCCTAGTGGTCAATGTTTGGTTTGAGCCTAAGGTTTCTTGTTTGATTGGATGATGAATTAAATCACAGGTGTGAATTGAGCATAATTAATTTGTCGTTCTCTCTCCCTAGCCATGAGGGTGGATTATTTATTCTTATTCCTGACACAGGAGAAAAAAAACGGATTCCCAACAAATTGGCAATTGTTGGGAATTTCCTTGAATTCCCAATTCGAACACCAACGTTGGGATTTATTGTTGGGAATTTCCTTCTAATACCCAATAGAAAAACAAAATTCCCAACAAACTAACATTGGGAATTGGTGCCATGTTCCCAATTTTGTTCTCTCTGGGAATTGGATGGGAATTCGTTGGGAATTCAAGGAAATTCCCAACAAATTCCCAATTTGGGAATCTATTTTTTTTCCTGTGATGAGGGTTATTTATTCTTATTCCTGAATAAAGATCTGCATGATATGTAGGTAGGGAGGTCCATTGTATACCCACTGTACATCTACTAACTTCATTCTCCTTTATCTCGTTGTAAACAGGATGCTATGTCATATGGCAAGTTTAATGTCTTTCACTGGCATGTCGTGGATGACCAATCCTTCCCTTTCGTCAGTAAAACTTTCCCTACACTAAGTGGACAGGTAAACAACTTTTCTCCCTGACTCCCTTCTTCACATATATTCCTGAAGGAAAGATGACTGAAATAAGGATATTGTTTCATGGATACACCTAATTGAAAAAACATAGTCAGGTTTGTGAAGGTCATATCATTGAAGCTAAGACCGAAAAGGATTTTGGGTACTCCAAAATGTGTATTATATTTGCRTATAGACATGTAAAAATGCACAGTAGAGCAAAGTCGGTCAACCTAGATTAACARCATGCCAAAGCCATGTTGCATAAAATGTGCACAGGAAGGGAAAACTGCAATACGCATGAAATTAGCATGATTACTTGTCTTCCCATGCTCCCCTTCGGTCTTAGCTTTGATGATATAACCTTTTTTTGAACCTGACAACGTTTTTTCAATTAGGTGTATATTAGAATTCAGAAATATTTCTTTTGGAAAAGCTTTAGTCTTGACATTACAAACCTGATAATAATATTAATCTAGAGAATGACACRTGGTCTAAAATTATAAAACATTGTGCATCCAATCTTAGAAAAGCTGTATTTTCGAAACCTTGATTTGATTTTAAGGTTTTTCTATTTCTGTTTACCAAACCATGGTTCTTTTACTATTTTTAGGGATCATACAACAACAAGACACATATCTACTCTGAGGATGTTGTTAAAAATGTGATAGAGTACGCCAGGCTGAGAGGAATTCGAGTCATCCCTGAATTCGATACACCGGTAAGGTACTAGGTTGTCTTGAATTTGTGTGAAAAAGTCATTTTTGTTTAATGAAACGTTTGGAAAAAAGGCAGTCGTACTTGTGAAACGATCAGTAACCCTTGAGTAAAACATTGTTATATCTTGAAATTGCTGCACAATAGCCAATCACTTTCAACTTCTCTCAAGAGAGTATCTGAATACTATTGGGTTACTATTGCCACTAAGATGCCTGTCACAGTACAGGGCCGTAACCAGGGGTCTTGCGGGGTGGGTGCACAGGAAATGGAAATAGAACAAACTATTAACAGTCATCTTGAGAAGAGGTATAACATTCCAAGCATTTGCATAACCAACAAAAAAGGGAGAGTCAGAACCAATTTGCAAAAGGCAAAAAAAAGAATGAGTCGGCGGACCTTTGACTTTTGTGGAGAGGTGCACGTGTGTGCACCCAATGCAATCCCTTGGTTACGCCCTGTAGTATTTAAGCACTAAGCATGACAAAAAACTTTCGCCACTTTTGCCAGTTTAGTTAATTACTTTCATTGCCATTTTACTAGGGGCATACCTTTTCTTGGAGAAGCATTGAAAACCTGCTTACTAAATGCTGTGATAAGCAAGGAAAGCCTAATGGGTAAGAATATATCAACAGTGGGCCATTTGCATTGTTGCTCTGCATCAAGAAGAATAACCATCACATGGTTTCCCAKAGGACACAGACCTTATCGTTGTTCCTTGTGTCATGGTTACCATCACACGATGGTGCAAATCCTAGTCTATACTATCACTACAAGAAGCCCTTCACATACACTTTCTTTTGTTGGGTACCGCCTCTCCCCTCTTGGGTCTCAGTTTGTCATACCTGGACTTTCCATCCTTATTTTCCCCCTCAGTATTGATATTCATTTTTTTTCCATTTTAAAACAACAAAATTAAAAGGTTTGTATAGATTATAGTTTTCATTTCTCCATCCAGAGGTCTTGGTCCAATCGACCCTACCATCGACTCCAACTATGACTTCCTCAAGCAATTCTTTGGTGAGATAGCTGCACGTTACCCAGAYACATACTTGCACCTTGGTGGCGATGAAGTATCCTTTGACTGCTGGAAGAGTAACCCCAATATAACTAAATGGATGCAGGCACAYGGCATGGGATCAAACTACTCCCTTCTTGAACAGTACTATGAACAAAAGTAAGATTTACAGTTTCAAGAAAACATTTCTTCAGAGTCACAAAACTCCATTATTTTTGACAGATTTTCTCATTCCGCAAACCAATCTAACAAGCAATTGAAGAAATGAGAATGTCTGGGAAATCAGACATTATTCACCACTACCAGTCAGAATTGTAGGCAGCTGATTATTTTTGATTGTCTGCAGCTAAAAAACCATGTTCACAGCAAATGTCTGAGTTCTCATGATATTGAAAATCGCAATGATTCAACATTTGACTTTTACGTTTGAATCAAGGGACAAACCCAAACTTGATCTATTCACTTTGTGTGGTCCGAAAAAAAATATTCTGCACCCCACCAATGAGGGAGGAAATTCTAAATTCGGGCCCCCTTGCATATAAACCTGGTAATTTCGTTTTTGCCTCTGGCTTCCCCCCCCCCCCCCCCCCCCCGCCCCCCCCCCCCCCCCCCCTGGGAAGTCCCCATTACCTCCATGGTGGGGTATGGATATTTTCAGGAACCATCCATTGAGTGTCACCCTCGAACATCATAATAGCTAATAGCTAGCATACAGATATTTTTTTTCATTTTTCAGCGTGCATCTGTGTTTGCTTTGTAAGCTTCACTTAACTTTTTTTCTTTCTTCAAGGTTATTAAACATTATCGGAGGACTTAAGAAACAATATATCATCTGGCAAGAAGTGGTTGACAATAAYGTCAAAGTACTGCCTGATACCGTCGTGAATGTCTGGAAGGGAGGCTGGCCGGACGAGCTGGCCAAGGTGACTGGACTTGGACTGAAGACGATCCTCTCATCTTGTTGGTACCTGAATTACATCAGCTACGGACTTGACTGGAACAAGGTAAATGCCTGAGTATCTGATTGCCACTGTTTTCATTGCTATGGAGGTTTTGAACCAACATGTAGCCAYGCTCATAATACAGTTTGGGCTACCTGTGGTTAGATGAAAACAATAAAWTCCCTTTGCTTTTGGGAATAAGCCTGAAGCGAGATGACATTTTACCGCCGTCTCTAGACCATAATCCTTTTCACACTGCTTTTGTTCTTTAATTATGACTATTGTTCCTGTATTCTCTAAGGAATCAAAAATTTTAATATGAAAGAATTTTAAAAACTATTATGGTATAGAGACGGGGGTAAAACGTCATCTCGCTTCAGGCTTATTGAATTCTTTCTTATGTAAAATGATTGCATTGTTCCTGTCATCTAACATGGCTGCACTGTCACCTGGTGGTGCGAAACCTTAATTCCTGGATTCATTTTATATATTATGAGCGAGTTAAATTTGTTGTCAACTTTCTCAGGAGTCCTTGCTGCTAGGTTYTTTCTCTGGGTTTTCCTGTTTTCCCATATGTTAGCAATAATTGAAGGGATGAAAATGAAAATGGCCTAAGTGACTTTTTGGGATATTTTTTAAAAATAGCCTAAACCAAACAAAAATACCAGCAAACAGCCTCTAGTTTAGTTTAAATATGAATGTTTAGTATTTAATTTTCATGATTTTGATCGGAAAAGTAGAAAAACGCTCCTTAGTTACGCATTGGCTTTGCTTGACAACCGATCATCCGTCCGTGAACTAGTGTATATTTGCATATCACTTGATGCCTCAAGTGAATTGCATTAACAGTCTGCTGTGTGTTCAAGCAGGAACTTTAATTCGATTTTGTCACTGTAATAATTATTATTCAACGAAGGCGAAGTGAATATCGGGGAATATTTACCGAAATGCGAGTCTTCGAGCAAATAATTGTTTTAGCATATAYCAACTTGTGTACAGAGTAACTTATTTTTATATACAATAATTCAATAAAAACAAACAAACAGAAACTTTTAGTTTGTGTGACAAATTCAAGCAAAACTTTTAGCAAACTATTTAGGCCATACTTCGTTGCCTTTTTAGTAAAATTGATAGGAATGGCATTTACTTTCATTTTTTCAATTTCCTCATTGGAAATTGTAGCAAAACGATTGCCGGCAGATGCCATTTTGTTGCCAACTCAATATTCCGAGATTCAGAGGTGAATATCGTACAACATTCATCTCCAATTAACCAATGAGCGCKCGCATTCTTAGGAAGTACACAAGTTGGTATATGCTAATAGGAGATAGATATATATATTCTCAATCGTGGTTAAAACCATTTTATTACCTACTGTGATGAAAATAAATTGGTTTTATTCTTTAATCCCTGATTTACGAGGAACAYTGTGACTTTTAACAATAGTTTATATCATTAATTTACTAATAATATTACAAATAAATAGTTGTCTTTTCCTCTATTTCAGTATTATCAATGTGAGCCAACTAATTTCTCAGGTACATATATATATTTTATCTTTCCCATGTCTTACACATCTCAAGCATTAAGGTCAGGTGGTTTAAAATAGCCTTGGGCTTCCTGTGGAAAGTTTCATCTTTGCAAGAAWAAAGTGCATTTAATGAGATATTTTCTTTTTCTATGGTAAACAGGAAGTGAAGCACAAAAGGAGCTCAT